GTCAACTTGCAATACGTCCCCATGACAGCTTTTAAAAAAAGCAATTCACGTCAAAATGCTTCGCTGTCTGCAGCAGTCCCACGGCAGTTCTCAAGCTCGACAGAGCACGCAGCTGGGGCCACACCTAATCCTGAAGTTACCCCCGCACCTGAAAAATCTGAATCCGCCTTTGCACCACCCAAGGGGATCCCCAATGACAACAACGGCTCCAAGTACTCTCAAGAAAACCCGCCGCTTGGTCACGTGCTACCTTCAGCACCTCCATCCTATGATGAGGTGGTTTCGAGACCAGCAACTTCTGAGCAAGCTGGATATCCCCCCACTCCCATGCCGTACTTCCTACCACCTGAGCCGGGCAACGGAAGCGTCCTTGTACTCCTGTTTCCTGCTGCCGACGTGGACGTGGTGAGAAACTGCATGAAACGCAACATGACAAACATCCTGCTTCACGGCGGGCTAATCCTGGCATACAATCCATTGGTAGGTTGATTTTGCAGTGATAGTTTCAGGACAACATTGTTCAAAGATTTACTAACAAAGAAAGGCGTTACGTCAAAATACGTCATTATTGACAATAGAAAATTTTAATTAACTTAAAATGTATAAAGTATAAATATGTATACTAACGTATGAATGTAAACAGTACTTAACTTGTATCGAGATCTGTCACTAAATGTGTTAGTGCATATCTACAGCTCTCTATTGGTACATATATCTGTTGCTAAATGTGTTATCTCATATCTACAGTTCTCTATCGGTACCTAGATCTGTCGCTATATGTGTTCATATCTACAGTACTCCCATTGCTCTCGATATCTTTCGCTGAACGTGTTAGCGCATTTCTTTCAAACACCGTACACATCACTGACATTTTTCCTTATACAGCTTGTCCTAAAGTTAAAGTTTACAAAATCACTTACACAAATTGTTTGTACTTTTAAATCGACTTCAGGGCAGTCTCGTTATTTTTGGAGCCCCCCTACCACTTTTTTTAAAAACACTTTATTTCTGCTCGCATTTTCATCCCGTTTGTCTAATATTGTTAGCTTTTTTTTTGGTGTGTTTTTTTTGTTTTGTTGTTGTTGTTGTTGACACTATCGCTCAAGTGATCGTCTGTCTCGGGCTAACCTGAAAGGTCGCACCCTGAGTCGTGTGATCTTCGCGTCTGCTTCGTTTAGTTAACGGCTGGAGGAGGGAGGGGGGTAAGTGGAGATCAGATAGGAGCTGTAGAAAGTTGGGGATTAAAAAACAAAAGATACAACTTTTATCGATTACATGCATATCAAAGTTTTAGTACAAAGAATTAGTAAATATTAAAAAAAAAAAATAAGAAGAATTGAACAGTGCTTTCTAACAAAGTCGAGTTTTAAATACTAAAAATGAGAAAATAAAGCAATGTCTTCAAATGCTAACAGCAAGGTAAGCTGGTGCAGAAAATACATTGGAAAAAACAAATGTAAGATTCGTTTAACATCAATTCGAATTCTTTGGCTACCTAGAGTGCCTATCTACACCTGTGCACAGTCTTTCTTTGGCTACCTAGAGTGCTCATCTGCACTTGTGAACACACTTTCTTTGGCTACCTAGAGTGCTTATCTACACCTGTGCACAGTCTTTTTTTGGCTCCTAGAGTTCTCATCTACACTTGTGCACATACTTTCTTGGCTATCTAGAGTGCTCATCTGCACTTGTGCACACACTTTCTTTGGCTACCTAGAGTGCTCATCTGCACTTGTGCACACACTTTCTTGGCTACCTAGAGTGCTCATCTGCACTTGTGCACACACTTTCTTTGGCTACCTAGAGTGCTCATCTGCACTTGTGCACAGTCTTTCTTTGGCTACCTAGAGTGCTCATCTGCACTTGTGCACACACTTTCTTTGGCTACCTAGAGTGCTCATCTGCACTTGTGCACACACTTTCTTTGGCTACCTAGAGGGCTCATCTGCACTTGTGCACACACTTTCTTTGGCTACCTAGAGTGCTCATCTGCACTTGTGCACACACTTTCTTTGGCTACCTAGAGTGCTCATCTGCACTTGTGCACACACTTTCTTTGGCTACCTAGAGTGCTCATCTGCACTTGTGCACACACTTTCTTTGGCTACCTAGAGTGCTCATCTGCACTTGTGCACACACTTTCTTTGGCTACCTAGAGTGCTCATCTGCACTTGTGCACACACTTTCTTTGGCTACCTAGAGTGGTCATCTGCACTTGTGCACACACTTTCTTTGGCTACCTAGAGTGCTCATCTGCACTTGTGCACACACTTTCTTTGGCTACCTAGAGTGCTCATCTGCACTTGTGCACACACTTTCTTTGCGAAATACATTTTAAGAAATTTTGAATGATTTTCTACTCTTTAGTGATCTCGTCTTTGATAGAAAGTATCTTTTAAGTTTTCAAAAATCTTTATTTGGTTATGTGTCCCGTTAATTCAAAGTTGATATTTAATTGATTCCATATTACTAAAAATTTGGCCACCTTAAAAAACTGAGCGCCCCCCCCCGGCAACCGCAAGGGCTGCAGGGTCCCAGGGATGGCTCTAATCTACTTGAGTTTTATTAGAGTAAAAACCTCTGATAATGAGTTCACTCTGTTACAGCTTCCCGTTCTTCCTGCCCATCAGACATCTGCTATCTTCATCCACTTTGGTTCACTTAGAACCGGTCTAAGCTGGTTGCACAACATGAAGACATCAGAGCCGACAATCACTTCAAGATGGTGGACGATGATTGGCGAAAACAAGTTCATGCTCGGACAACCAGGTCAGCGGACACAATTCAATGCCCTGTCCGTGACCCTGCTGAAACGCAATCTTGAGTTTAAGCCAACCCAAGACTACAGCAGTGAGCATCAGCGGCTAATGAAGGAGGTGCTGAGCCCCACCAAGGCCGCATTCGGTGGCAAGACGGTTCTCTCGTCTGCCGGAGTAACATTCGCAAGTGGCGACTGGTCGAGCTTGGCAGTGAATTCAAGGCAGGTCACTTTAGTAGTTATTCAATGGCCAACAGTGGAGCACAACAAGGGATACAAGCAAGCATTTGTAGATGATCCCAACCTGAGACGATTTTCTGAACTTTTGAAACTGTCCAACACTGTTTTGTTTACGTCTGGCTTTGAGGTGAATGACGTGGACTCATTTCAAAATGTCTAATTGATAATACATGGATCATAATACAACTTGTAATCGTTCAGGTCAAAATACATTTAATCATTCTGAAATGTTTGCTGAAGATTTTTATAGAGGAAAACATAATAAAGATACTCTTTTTCGAACTTTTGCCATCATCTATATTTTTTGTAAAGGTAACATTTTCCAGGCGTCTTATCTATTATGTGTTAAAATATGTAACTACCAGACCTCCGGTAGAATTTATGTTTTGATATGTGTAACTATTAGATTTCTGGTACAAATGATGTGTTGATATTATGTTTAACTATTAGACTTCCGGTAGAAATGATTTTGTTGTATGTGTAACTACTAAAGTCCGGTAGAAATGATGTGTTGATATGTGTAACTACCAGATTACGGTAGATATGATGTGTTGATATTTGTAACTACTAGACTTCCGGTAGAAATGATGGATGTTTTCAAAACTTGAATACTTTAGTTTACATCTAGTAACAAATCAGATAAGGGAGATAATATTAACATGCAACGTTTAACTAGAGGTTGTCTCTCTTTGTGCTAAAAAAGCTTTCAAGAACAATTTTAAACGCAACGCAATAGACATCCTAAACCTAAAACTCAATAACATTTTCTGAACATACAACGCTATTTGACATTGTGTTTGTCTTATGGTGAAAGAAAAATACGAAGTGACATATTTTGTTTAAGGTGATTATGATTGGTGATTGTAAAATGTCCCACAATCAAACATTTAGAGTCATGTGGTGAATAATCTTATTATTATTCAGCTTATTTCTGAAAAAAAACAACAACAACAAAAACAAAAAAAACACACACACACAAACAACAACATATTTTTGTCAACTCCGACATCTGTTTACTTCCAATCAAAATGTTTGTATTACTCTCTTTATGTAAGATGTTCATTGTATGCTGGCACTTCCGTACTGTAAAACATACTTCCAAAAACTCTGTACGAAGATGTCATTCTATTTACTTGTGTTAAGTTAATGGAACTCTATTTCCATTTCAATGTTTAAAATAAAATTGATATTAAAGAACGTTATATATTATATTCTCCATGTTATATGTAATAGTAAAATATGTTAGATGCTATACCCCTCCATGTATATATGTATAGATAAAAGTTAAGTACCGGTTTGTTAGAGATTATATCCTCGTTTATGAAAGGTTCCGTCAATCCCCATCTCCCCTTTCCACTCCATTTTTTTTATTTCATTCCCAGCCACATTTAAACTAACCTCCAAAATGCACAAATAACTAACACGTCATATAACACGTGATATTCAAAAGCTACCAAATCATTCGCCTTCACAAGTATGTCTTCTTCTTCTATATTTTGAGAGCCCACGATCAATGTTCTGGTCATTCTGTCCCCTATGTTTCCCAGGGGTTCGCGATGTAACTGTGCATGGTTTTGAAGGAGAGACTTTCCTGGCTGTAAGGTATATATAAATATTATGATTTCCAAAGTCTTTTCATATTATTACAACAATTATAAAACAAAGTACACAAAAGTTTAAGTACACAAAGGTTTAATCACACGAAGGTTTAAGTACACAAATGATTAACTACGGAACGGTTTAACTACACAAAGGTTTAACTACACAAAGATTTAAGTACGCAAAGATTTAAGCACTCAAATGTTTGAGTACACAAAGGTTTAACTACACAAATGTTTAACTACACAAAGATTTAAGTACGCAAAGATTTAACTACACAAAGGTTTAACTCCACACATGTTTGAGTACACAAAGGTTTAAGTACACAAATGTTTTAGATACACAAATGTTTAAGTACACAAATGTTTGAGCACACAAAGGTTTCAGTACACTAGTTTATTGACCAGAAAAAGTTAAATTGTTGGATGTGGCCTATTTCTCTGAAACCACCCATAGGTGTCACCACCTGAGAGACTTTGGATCCGCCTTAGGGTGGCATTGTCGGGCACTGACCATGTAGAGTAGGACATCTGGTCCTGAGTGGACACAGGTGGCTGGTCACCGAAATACAATGACCTGGCAGTTAAAGAAAGAAACATGATCTACAGGATGTTTCAAGTTAATTGAGACAGTATCTACAGGATGATGTAATCGAAGTCATTATCTACAGGATGATGTAATCGAAGTCATTATCTACAGGATGATGTAATCGAAGTCATTATCTACAGGATGATGTAATCGAAGTCATTATCTACAGGAGGGTGTAATCGAAGTCATTATCTACATGATGATGTAATCGAAGTCATTATCTACAGGATGATGTAATCGAAGTCATTATCTACAGGATGTTGTAATCGAATATATTATCTACATAATGATGTAATCGAAGTCATTATCTACAGGATGTTGAAATCGAAGATATTATCTACAGAATGATGTAATCGAAGTCATTATCTTCAGGATGTTGTAATCGAAGATATTATCTACAGAATGATGTAATCGAAGTCATTATCTACAGGATGATGTAATCAAAGTCAGTATCTACAGGATGATGTAATCGAAGTCATTATCTACAGGATGTTTTAATCAAAGACATTATCTACAAGATGTTGTAATCGAAGATATTATCTACAGTATGTTGTAATCAAAGACATTATCCACAGGATGTTGTAATCAAAGACATTATCTACAGGATGTTGTATTCACAGACATTATCTACGGGATGATGCAATCGAAGTCATTATCTACAGGATGATGTAATAAAAAAACATTATCTACATGATTTTGAAGTTAATTGAGACATTATCTGTGATTAGAGTTAATATGAGACACAGCAGGAGGTAATATCAAATCTTAATGTCTCTATCCAGAATATACCCTATGGTAAAATCAAATCTTAGTGTTGCTATCCAGGGTATACCCTATGGTCAGATCAAATCTTAGTGTAGCTTTTCAGGGTATACCCTGTGGTAAGATCAAATCTTAGTAAGATCAATGGGATCACTAACCTTTTATGACGTGTGTATTCAGACCCCGCCAACTGACCTGTAATGTAGGCACACAGCTATTGCCTGACAGGTCATAAGATCACGTGACTGACCTGTAATGTAGGCACACATCTATTGCCGTGACAGTTCATAAGATCACGTGACTGACCTGTAATATAGGCACACATCTATTGCGTGACAGTTCATAAGATTATGTGACTGACCTATAATATGTATATGTGACACCCGGAAGTTCATGCGGCTCCATGTGACGTGATGTTTGACGAAGTCTGGCAATATTTCTCAGAATGCCGTGTGCATCATCTGCGTCTATGACTCCCCACTTCCTCAGGTCGTCAGGACGCAATGACAGAAGACTTACACCGTTGATGTTCTGCTGTCTGAAGATTGGCCGATACCTGGCCATTCAATGATACTTGATCATTACATGGACATTCAAATGATACTTGATCATTACATGGCCATTCAATGATACTTGATCATTACATGGACATTCAATGATACTTGATCATTACATGGACATTCAATGATACTTGATCATTACATGGACATTCAATGATACTTGATCATTACATGCACATTCAATGATAATTGATCATTACATGGACATTCAATGATACTTGATCATTACCTAGAACAGAAATGATACTTGATCATTACATGGACATTCAATGATACTTGATCATTACCTAGAACAGAAAATGATACTTGATCATTACTAGACATTTATGTTCTTTTTCGTCTTTCGCATTCGAGGAAGATTAAGGTAATATTACACAGTGAGTAGGCAGGTGACATGCCAGTCCTATTTGTGTCTGGAAAGCTTTCCCGCAAGTGGGAAACACGTTGTTTTGGACCCTGTATGGATTTTTAGTTAATTTTGCTTTTTCAATGTCATGCGCTTTCTTTGAGAGTGAGCGGTGCGCATATTCTCTGATGATTTTTCTCCGACAGTGAGTCCGCCACACCAGCTTGCACGGTCCAAGGCAAGTGTCTCACACAAATCAAGGTCAGTGGACATTTATTAATACTTAGTAATAACTGGAAATTTGTTGAAACCTGTATCTGGACATTTAACTAAATTTAACTAAAGAATAATAATATGCAAGTAACGTAATCTTCCTCTATACCTTTATAAATGTCATGGGTGTTACAGACATACCTAGCATAATCCAGCATATGCCTGCCAAACATATCCACAACAGGCCTTCCAAACATATCCAGCACATGCCTTCCAAACATATCCACCACAGGCCGTCCAAACTTATCCACCACAGGCCTTCCAAACATATCCACTACAGGTCTTCCAAACATATCAACCACAGACCTGCCAAACATATTCAGCACATGCCTTCCAAACATATCCACCACAGGCCTTCCAAACATATCCCCTACAGGTCTTCCAAACATATCCACCACAGACCTGCCAAACATATTCAGCACAGGCCTGCCAAACATATCCACCACAGGCCTGCCAAACATATGCACCACAGGCCTGCCAAACATATTCAGCATAGGCCTGCCAAACATATCGACCACAGGCCTGCCAAACATATCCACCACAGGCCTGCCAAACATATCGACCACAGGCCTGCCAAACATATCCACCACAGGCCTGCCAAACATATCCAGCACAGACCTGCCAAACATATCCAGCACAGGCCTGCCAAACATATCCACCACAGGCCTGCCAAACATATCCACCACAGGCCTGCCAAACATATCCACCACAGGCCTGCCAAAAATATCCACCATAGGCCTGCCAAACATATCCACCACAGGCCGGCCAAACATATCCACCACAGGCCTGCCAAACATATCCAGCACAGACCTGCCAAACATATCCACCACAGGCCTGCCAAACATATCCAGCACAGACCTGCCAAACATATCCACCACAGGCCTGCCAAACATATTCATCACAGGCCTGCCAAACATATCCAGCACAGACCTGCCAAACATATCCAGCACAGACCTGCCAAACATATGCACCACAGACCTGCCAAACATATCCAGCACAGGCCTGCCAAACATATGCAAAACAGACCTGCCAAACATATGCACCACAGACCTGCCAAACATATCCACCACAGGCCTGCCAAACATATGCACCACAGACCTGCCAAACATATCCAGCACAGACCTGCCAAACATATTCAGCACAGAACTGCCGAGTATAAACTATTTATGAAACTTGCCTGCCGTAGCCGGTGTCAACTAGCCAGTTATCTATCGAATTAGCATCCCAGGCGTAGCAGACAGGAACACTGAATGGGGGTTCATATAGTGTCATCCCACTGGCTGGCACGTTGTCAGACTGATACACAGGTTTAAAGTGGTTGCCACAAAACGCCATTTTCCTAGTAGGAAATACAATATTATACATACGGTACTGGATTCGAGCAGTGTGTAAGAAATACATTATGCTATATAAGATACTAGACACAAGCAGTGCGTAGGAAATAGTGGAACAGGATATGTGAAAGAATGAAGGGGAAAATAGTCCACTGAAATAAACGTTTCGGCAGGAAGCCTCTCCCATCAGAAAAACAACAACAAAAAACCCCCACAAGGGTATAAGAAAAATAAAAGAATTTAGCTAGCTATTGGCTGCAATAACATAATAGAAAAACAAAAGAATTTAGCTAGCTATTGGCTGCAATAACATAATAGAAAAACAAAAGAATTTAGCTAGCTATTTGCTGCAATAACATCATATAGAAAAACAAAAGAATTTAGCTAGCTATTGGCTGCAATAACATAATAGAAAAACAAAATAATTTAGCTAGCTATTGGCTGCAATAACGTAATAGAAAAACAAAAGAATTTAGCTAGCTATTGGCTGCAATAACATCATATAGAAAAACAAAAGAATTTAGCTAGCTATTGGCTGCAATAACATCATAGACAAAACAAAAGAATTTAGCTAGCTATTGGCTGCAATAACATAACAGAAAAACAAAAGAATTTAGCTAGCTATTGGCTGCAATAACATCATAGAAAAACAAAAGAATTTAGCTAGCTATTGGCTGCAATAACATCATAGACAAAACAAAAGAATTTAGCTAGCTATTGGCTGCAATAACATCATAGACAAAACAAAAGAATTTAGCTAGCTATTGGCTGCAATAACATCATTGAAAAACAAAAGAATTTAGCTAGCTATTGGCTGCAATACTATAATAGACAAAACAAAAGAATTTAGCTAGCTATTGGCTGCAATACTATAATAGACAAAACAAAAGAATTTAGCTAGCTATTGGCTGCAATAATATAATAGAAAAACAAAAGAATTTAGCTAGCTATTGGCTGCAATAAAATAATAGTGACAGGAATTTGTCCAACTCCAATACGTACGTGTTACCACAGAGGTGCCATGACGTCATATAATTCATGTGTAGTAGATACGAGATGTTAACGCTTCAAAATTTTGTTAGAAAAATGACAATAAAAAAGAAAGTAGAAATGGAGAGAATATGAGCACTAAATGGAGAGAATATGAGCACTAAATGGATAGAATATGAGCACTAAATGGAGAGAATATGAGCACTAAATGGAGAGAATATGAGCACTAAATGGAGAGAATATGAGCACTAAATGGAGAGAATATGAGCACTAAATGGAGAGAATATGAGCACTAAATGGAGAGAATATGAGCACTTGCTCCTTAGATGAGCATTTGATTGGTTCATATTGAAGTATGGTCTTGAACATCTGAATTAATGTGTTTTTATTCTGCACGCTTATTGACGCATGGTGTAAACAAATCAATGCCGCGATGGATATGGTTGAAGTTCAATTGTGTTCAAATGCGCGGCAATAGGATGAGACAGAGAGGGCTCGTTTTGTGAAATATCACAAAGATGATCTCTGAATCCAGATACTCTTATTCCGGCCTCACCAATAAAACGGGAGTGTCTTCTTCGAAAGCAATCACACAGATCAGACCTGCACAGCTCAAAATTTAAGGCCCGTGGGCCCTATGTCGTGCACGCCTTAACTATATCACATGGCAATTACACACGTAATGCCCTCCATGGTAAAGTTAATTCGTTAATGCCAGTTCTACAACGAGATCTCGTGAACATGGTTTAGGCCCCCCCCCCCAAATGGGGTCTCGTGAACATGGTTTAGGCCCCCCCCCCCCGGCATCTCGTGAACATGGTTTAGGCCCCCCCCCAACGGGATCTCGTGAACATGGTTTAGCCCCCCCCCCAACGGCATCTCGTGAACATGGTTTAGGCCCCCCCCCAACGGGATCTCGTGAACATGGTTTAGCCCCCCCCCCCAAACGGGATATCGTGATCATGGTTTTGCCCCCCCCCCCCCAACGGGATATCGTGATCATGGTTTAGCCTCACAACGGGATCTCGTTTTGCTATACTTAACGGTAAACTTGCGTATTAAGAATGCGTCTGGCCGACTTACCCTAAAACAAATGGGCTCGGAAATAGAAGGATGGTTAGTTTGTTTAGAGAGTTATTTTACAGGAATGGATCCGACATCAAACACCGCTAACCATAACGGAATTTCAGGATTCAAATGTTTTTATATGTTAAATATGTTCTCATGTATATGATTTCGGTTTAGTATTTTAGATTATGCACTTACTTGATTTACAATACAAGACTACACTCTTGTAAGAATTTTTTATTTTATTTTTGATTTTGGTAAATCTTTCTCCAATTCCTGGATCGAACTTATTGACTTTATGGACTAAAAGTCGCTTCAAATTTTTTTTAAAATGAGCGCGATTAAAAATTCCACAAAAGTCAATTTGAAAGTTTAGGATGGGAAGTGGGGTGGGGGGAGAGCTAAACACTTAATATTTTAATTTGTGCATGACCAGGAGTAAAGCAACTTCCGTTCAAATAAAATTTCCAATTTTGAAATTTCTTAAATAATAAACGGGAATTTCCAATTAACTTCGCACCATCATGTTCTTCTAAGCATTGCCCTGAGATTGTGATGAATGGCGATATGAGGATTTAAAAGTCGATTGTCTTGTCAGTTGTAGTGTCATGACACATGGAATTAAAATGAAAAAGGAACCCAATTCTTTAATGGCATAACTTAATTTTGTTTCGTTTTCAAAATTCGGGAGTGAATAATAAGACGCGATAATAAGACGCGATAATAAGACGCGATAATAAGACGCGGAAATGAGACACGATAATGAGACACGACAATACGACACGATGATACGACACGATAATAAGCTGAGATAATAAGACGCGATAATAAGACGTGATAATAAGACACAATAATTAGACGTGATAATAAGACGCGATAATAAGACGCAATAAAAAACGGAATAATAAGACGTGATAATAAGACGCAATAATAAGACGCGACAATAAGACGCGATAATAATAATTCCATTTCTCACAAATTAATTTGAGAGTAATATATAAATTCCACATCTCATCTCATTTCCTTATACTGATTTCCTCCAGGAAATAAATGAAAATAGAGTTGAACACCTTTAAAATAATGGAACAGGAATGGAACGAATCAAATAATGTTTAGTAGAGCATCGGAAGCAACAATGCGTCACTTCCTGTAAGAAATGGCGGATATCTAGAGCTAAAACAACATAGGACGCGGCCATCAGTTTTTGGGGGAGACGATTCCAGACGACAGTGAGCACTGTTTGGTACAACCATGGCACCACCTTGCCCCCTTAAATTACCCGGGCCTGTGAGCCTCTCGCGTCCCCCGCAGGACGAAGAGGTGCCGCCTTTATTTGCGAGCAAAGTTTGTAATCCACAGAACCCAAATTACCGGATTCGCCAAGGACCCGGCGAGCGGCTTCATGACCTTCAGTTGAGAAAACATGAGTTCCCGTGAGGAAACCTAATCATTCATTCATTGACTTATTAAACATGCCAATAGTTTTGTTCATGGGATGGACGGAAGCTATTCAGGGGACTCGTTCTTTATGGGGTGGAATCAATCATTAAACATTGTCAGCTGGGAAACAGGTCGTGCATTGCTCCCACCGATGCGAAAATTGCCCGGGTGGAATGTAGTCATCAAATGTTCGGGTGGCATTTAGTTAACACACGTCACGGTGGCATTCAGTTATTAAATGCTGTGGTGGTATTAAGTTATCAAATGCCAAGGTGGCATTTAATTAGCAAATGTCATGGTGGCGTGTAGTTAACAATGTCATGGTAGCATTAGTCCTCAAATATAAGGGTGGCATTTAGTCATTAAATGCCTGAGTGACATTTACACATGAAATGTCCGAATGACATATCACCAGGACCATATTTCTGTGTGTCACAGATCAAATATTTAGAAAATAATTTTGTTTCGGAATAATGTATTGTTTTTATAAGTTAGAACGAACAGGAAGTTAATTAAGGTGTGTCATGCGCAGAAGTGTAGAAGAACAGAAGTAAAATAGAGGAATAGGACTATGCGTTAAATAGAAGATAGGCTCTTGCCTATCGGAATACTTATTCAACAGATCTGTGTGAAAGTCATTTGTGAAGTAAATAAACAACGTCAATTATATTTTACTCCAGATGCATTTCATGTGGTGTAAACTATATATAATAAATGGTTTATGATGCTAAATCAATGGAATTCCTCTCGTGCCTTGTGAACGTGAATAATTAACACTGCAACCATATGTACAAGTAACATCATCATCACCCAATGATCGTTACACTGTGAAATAAGATGTCTAATGTGATATTGCTGATGGCATTTCAGACCCCATGTAGAGGACAGGTTGCCACTGACCAGCTCCCAGTGTCTGGACTGCACTAAACCCTTCTATAACTATTACTTCGGGGCCCCAGCTGATTACAGGGACCCACCGCCCACTTCGTTCCCACCGTGTTGGAGTTGGTCAAAGCAGCAGGTCGCTGATTGGCTGGTGGACGTTGGGTATGGCAGGTAAATACTAGCACTGATTGGGTGGCACGCTGGTTATGCCATGTAAACACTAGCACCGATTGGCTGGCACGTTGGTTAGGTCATTTAAATACTAGCACTGATTGGCTGGTGGACGTTGGTTACGCAGGTAAATACCAGCACTGATTGGTTGACAAGAAATCCTTTCAATTTGTATATTGTGTTATTGAATGCGGAGAATTTACGCACCACGTTCGTAATTTTAGAATCTTGAAATGAAAGGATCTACTCTGACGTCACGTGTCCATCAAGAAACCTACTTCCTGTTTAATAATGAACTTGTTTCAGAAACCAAAGAAAACGAAATGATATATTTTTTTTTTTTTAAATTTAGCGGCACTTTTTCTAATTATAGATCCAGACGGGGCTGACGTAGGCGGAAATAATCCTATAATCAAAGTATACTTTAATCTTTAAATCAGACTCATGTTTTCATATGATTTTGAGCAAAAATTATGAAAACTCAATTTTTAAATGAATTATCAACTCTAATAAAATGTTTAGGTACAGAGACATGTTTATCAAGCTCAACATTGATGGTCAAAGACTAGCGAAAATAGATGCCCAAGATTTACGCCGCATGGGAGTGAAGTTGTGGACAGACTGTATCGGGCTGGTCAGTGCAGCCAAAGAGTTCACAGGGCGGTGAGTGCTATGTAGATGTTTAACTAGCCAAAATGTGGACACATAACTAACTAAAATGTGGACATATAACGAACCAATATGTAAACATTTAACTAACCAATATGTGGACATATAACTAGCCTATGTGAAGACATTTAACTAACCAATATGTAGACATTTAACTAGCCAATACGTAGACATTTAACTAGCCAAAATGTGGACATATAACTAGCCAATATGTAGACATTTAACTAACCAATACGTAGACATTTAACTAGCCAATACGTAGACATTTAACTAGCCAATATGTAGACATATAACTAGCCAATACGTAGACATTTAACTAGCCAATACGTAGACATTTAACTAGCCAATACGCAGAAGTTTAACTAACCAATATTTAGATGTTTAACTGACCGATATGTAGACATTTAACTGACCAATTTGGCGTCCTAGTAAAGACATTTTTATATCTAATGTTTAATTGTATCAGAGCCGTTCTTAGGAGTTTGGGGGCCCCAAGCATGGAGCGTAGGTTGGGGGCCCCGGAAGGAGGAGGGTCCGGGGGTGGAGCTACCTCGAGCTGAGGGGAAAACACCGCCCACCACTGCGGCACCTTCATTCTGCCTTCATCAATGTTGCCTCTTTCCAATTCCCATGGCCAAGCCCCCGACTTCCTGTCTTCCACCCACAAAGCCCCCCCCTTCCCCCCCCTTGCTGCTTCCCTTCCCCTGCCTCCGAATTCAACTCAGAACGATACATTTCAGGATGAGGAAGGTCACGTGAGTGCCACAGACGGCTGCAGTGCTAGTTTAAAAAAAAAACCGGGGGATCGAGAGCCCCTCACGTTCAGGGCCACACGCGGATGCGTAGTCAGCGTATGCCTAAGAACGGGCCTCATTGTATAAAGACCCGAGTGTCATGTGTTTGACTTGTATAGGAATGAAGACCCGGTAGATGATAATGATGATGAGGATGGATGGGTTAGGAGATGACTAGGAAGGTTGAAGATTGTTTCATGTGAGCTAACACCGGGAATATTGTCATCATGGGAGATGACTATGATATATGGATCTTTTTCCAAGTGTAACAAAAAAAAAAAAAAGAGTTAACTCTTCATTTTCTATAACCAATAGGCCTATAGACAGTCTTCTACACCCTACCTGCCGGCCTATAGACAGTCTTCTACACCCTACCTGCCAGCCTATAGACAGTCTTCTACACCCTACCTGCCAGCCTATAGACAGTCTTCTACACCCTACCTGCCGGCCTATAGACAGTCTTCTACACCCTACCTGCCGGCCTATAGACAGTCTTCTACACCCTACCTGCCGGCCTATAGACAGTCTTCTACACCCTACCTGCCGGCCTATAGACAGTCTTCTACACCCTACCTGCCGGCCTATAGACAGTCTTCTACACCCTACCTGCCGGCCTATAGACAGTCTTCTACACCCTACCTGCCGGCCTATAGACAGTCTTCTACACCCTACCTGCCGGCCTATAGACAGTCTTCTACACCCTACCTGCCGGCCTATAGACAGTCTTCTACACCCTACCTGCCGGCCTATAGACAGTCTTCTACACCCTACCTGCCGGCCTATAGACAGTCTTCTACACCCTACCTGCCGGCCTATAGACAGTCTTCTACACCCTACCTGCCGGCCTATAGACAGTCTTCTACACCCTACCTGCCGGCCTATAGACAGTCTTCTACACCCTACCTGCCGGCCTATAGACAGTCTTCTACACCCTACCTGCCGGCCTATAGACAGTCTTCTACACCCTACCTGCCGGCCTATAGACAGTCTTCTACACCCTACCTGCCGGCCTATAGACAGTCTTCTACACCCTACCTGCCGGCCTATAGACAGTCTTCTACACCCTACCTGCCGGCCTATAGACAGTCTTCTACACCCTACCTGCCGGCCTATAGACAGTCTTCTACACCCTACCTGCCGGCCTATAGACAGTCTTCTACACCCTACCTGCCGGCCTATAGACAGTCTTCTACACCCTACCTGCCGGCCTATAGACAGTCTTCTACACCCTACCTGCCGGCCTATAGACAGTCTTCTACACCCTACCTGCCAGCCTATAGACAGTCTTCTATACCTTACCTACCGGCCTATAGACAGTCTTCTACACCCTACCTGCCAGCCTATAGACAGTCTTCTATACCCTACCTGCCGGCCTATAGACAGTCTTCTACACCCTACCTGCCGGCCTATAGACAGTCTTCTATACCCTACCTGCCGGCCTATAGACAGTCTTCTACACCCTACCTGCCAGCCTATAGACAGTCTTCTATACCCTACCTGCCAGCCTATAGACAATCTTCTACACCCTACCTGCCAGCCTATAGACAGTCTTCTACACCCTACCTGCCAGCCTATAGACAATCTTCTACACCCTACCTGCCAGCCTATAGACAGTCTTCTACACCCTACCTGCCGGCCTATAGACAGTCTTCTACACCCTACCTGCCGGCCTATAGACAGTCTTCTACACCCTACCTGCCACCCTATAGACAGTCTTCTACACCCTACCTGCCAGCCTATAGACAGTCTTCTACACCCTACCTGCCGGCCTATAGACAGTCTTCTACACCTTACCTGCCGGCCTATAGACAGTCTTCTACACCTTACCTGCCGGCCTATAGACAGTCTTCTACACCTTACCTGCCGGCCTATAGACAGTCTTCTACACCCTACCTGCCGGCCTATAGACAGTCTTCTACACCTTACCTGCCGGCCTATAGACAGTCTTCTACACCTTACCTGCCGGCCTATAGACAGTCTTCTACACCCTACCTGCCGGCCTATAATCAGTCTTCTACACCTTACCTGCCGGCCTATAGACAGTTTTCTAAAAAATCCACCTTCTTACCTGGGTTCAACTGTCCCGCACGACGCCCGCTGCTTGATAGCCTTTTTTATTTTCTCAGTACTATTTATCTAAAGCCTGTTGAGTAGGGTAGTGCCGGTTGTGAAAAGGAAGCAGCCATACCAGAAGCAAAATATATATATAAGAGATGCCCAATCGGATATGTGATCAGGTCAAAGTTCATGCATAATGTAACATGTTGGAAGCAACTAATGCGAGCCATTGACTGTCGAAATTCATTCCTTCTTAGTAGGAGTATTGACAACGAAAGTAGATAAATTGTCCGAAATAGAATCTAACAATTTAAAAATTCCTTACTTATCGTGTTGTGTGTGTGCGTGTGTTTGTGTCATTTTAGGCGAATATTGCTGAACCCAGATAACTTCCGGAACAAGATTTACCCTTATCACGTGGGGCTGTACTGCGGTGAAGACAATTGTCTCCCCTCTCCTAACCAAGTCTTCAAGAACCCACTGTTTGACCCCGACCCCAGCAAGGACCAGATCTACCGCTACATCTACAGAACAGCCGGGGACAGGTTCTTCTTCTTCGACAGCTCTAAACAGCAAAACCTCATCTAGGCAAGTGGTCACCTTTATCACCTGATCTGGTCACATTTAACACCTTACCTGGTCACATTCAACATCTGATCTGGTCACCTTAAACACTTGAACTGGTCACCTTTAACATCTGATCTGGTCACATTTAATACCTTACCTGGTCACCTTTAACATCTGATCTGGTCACATTTAACATCTGATCTGGTCACCTTTAACACCTTGTCTGGCCACATTAACACCTAGGCTAATCCCCTTCAACATCTGGATTCGGAACCATTAGCACTCGTATTTCATGGAGGGCATGTCATGTGGATGCCATGTGCCATGTCGGGTGCAACCGTTAATGTCTAGTGGCGTTTGTGGAGTAAGGATGGCGCACCTACCCAGACACTGCTTCAAGATCCACACCAATGCTTCAATACTTATATTTATAATCCCGAGTACATGTGTAGTAGGTCAATGCTGGTGTGTTGATGTACCAGTCGATCTACTTTGAGTTGTGCGCCGCCTCTCACGAATTAAAATTAGCCTAGATTCACGTGACGACCTGGAGCCACATTAGCCTAGATGTCATGTGACGACCTGGAGCCATATTAGCCTAGATGTCATGTATTATGGAAGTAAAGATCATTTCAAAGTCTCACCATCTGCTGTCGTTTTTTGTATTTTTAGTCTATACTGGCTGGGACCAAACCATCATACAAACCATCATACAAACCATCATACAAACCATCATACAAACCATCATACAAACCATCATACAGACCATCATACAAACCATCCTTCAGGCTACACCATTTCAACTACTGTAACCAAAATTGGTGTGGTCGGGACGTAACAACAGCAGGGAGTGATGTGGTCGGGACGTAACAACAGTGGGGAATGGTGTAGTCGAGACTAACAACAGAAGGAAGTGGTGTAGTCGGGACGTAACAACAGAAAGGAGTGGTGTAGTCGGGACTTAACAACAGTAAGGAGTGGTGTAGTCGGGACGTAACAACAGTAGGGAGTGGTGTGGTCGGGACGTAACAACAGTAGGGAGTGGTGTGGTCGGGACGTAACGACATTGGGGTGTGGTGTGGTCGGGACGTAACACCATTAGGGAGTGGTGTGGTCGGAACGTAACAACAGAAGGGAGTGGTGTAGTCGGGACGTAACAACAGTATGAACAGAATGTTCAAGAACAACAACAAGTAACTTATATCCTTAACTTGATAATTTTAACAAATAAGGGAAGCAAAAATCGATAGTTCAGAACTATCTGGATATTGATTTGGGTATGATGAAGAAATATATCTATTTATTTGAGAGATCAATATATATTGATAAATTTCTGTGTTCATCGAATTTGTCGACGTGACCATTTATGGTCAGTTAATGACCGCCATTTTGAGTGCACAAACTAAGTAGCTTTGGTCACGAAAGGCAAGGTCATGGTCACAATTTATTTTGTTAACTGATGCTATAGTTCTAGGTTACCGGAAGAGCGAAAAGTCAAGGCCGTCAGTATTGTTACTAGAATAACTTTATTAAGTTTATACCGTATCAGTACAATATATCAAACTATATTATTTCAGTAGGTCCATCCTGTTTTGTATCCGTCAGGTCCATGATCTATAGTATCAGTAGGTCCATAATGTATTTTATCAGTAGGTACATCCTGTATTTATTTGTTTATTTGACACAAATCAAACTTTTTTATTCACAAGTTTTCTGCACAAATATGCATTGAATATACGAGTGAGACATCTCATGGTTTTACCTAACTTATGCACAGATCTTTTTTTTTTTTTTTTATCTTAAAATTGTATAAAATTCTTTCCAAATAAATGACACAGCCTATCAAATCCAAGGTTACTGTGTCAACCAATCAAATGCAAGGTTAATTATTCACAAGTTTTCTGCACAAATATGCATTGAATATACGAGTGAGACATCTCATGGTTTTACCTAACTTATGCACAGATCTTTTTTTTTTTTTTATCTTAAAATTGTATAAAATTCGTTCCAAATAAATGACACAGCCTATCAAATCCAAGGTTACTGTGTCAACCAATCAAATGCAAGGTTAGTAACTCGGCCATTCAACTCCAAAGTTACTGTGTCAGCCAATCAAATGCAAGGTTAGTAACTCGGCAAATCAACTCCAAAGTTACTGTGTCAGCCAATCAATGCCGAGGTTACTTACCCAGCTAACCCAGCCAATCAACTGCTACGGCTACTAACCCAGCCGATCAACTCGAAGGTTACTAACCCAGCCAATCAACTTGAAGGCTACTAACCCAACCAATCAACTCGAAGGTTACTAACCCAACCAATCAACTCGAAGGTTACTAACCCAGCCAATCAACTTGAAGGTTACTAACCCAACCAATCAACTCGAAGGTTACTAACCCAGCCAATCAACTTGAAGGTTACTAACCCAACCAATCAACTCGAAGGCTACTAACCCAGCCGATCAACTTGAAGGTTACTAACCCAGCCGATCAACTGCCACGGTTACTAACCCCACCGATCAGCTCCAAGGTTACGGTCAATACATTATTGCCCCAGACTTTATCCCCACAGACAAGACCACCACTGTGAACGAACCATTTTGCCCTAGAATTGATCACAGATAAACTATCCTCTCTTTACCATCTGACAAATATGAATAGCGGAGGCAACCCGTTAGTCGTGGGTATTTAATAATGCACACAACTTATCTGGTCCAATCAATGTTACTCTGAATTCGCTTTACAAACACTTGCTTCCACCAGCCCAGAGACCAATATATTGATCATAGGATTTTTGCCTTGTAGAATAAATAATTGCCATACAAAGATGCTGGAGTAGGCTCTTGGGTTCTGATAGATTGATATTATGGGATTTTTGTGTGTGTGTGACTTGGAAGTATATCAAAATATCAAAACTTAAATCAGAGAGATTTTACCCCCATACCACCCCGAACAGGGTTTTACACCAAATACCTTTGACATATATTCATTGCTGATTTCACTTTGATGTTTCAGGACTTGTTTCTTAATATATGGTCTATAACTATCTTGTCCATAGCCATATTGTCTATAGCTGCATACTCTAGAACTATCTTGTGCATAGCCATATTGTCTATAACTATATACTCTAGAACTATCTTGTCTATAGCCATATTGTCTATAACTATATACTCTATAACTATCTTGTCTATAGCCACATTGTCTATAACTATATACTCTATAACTATCTTGTCTATAGCCATATTGTCTATAACTAAATACTCATTAACGATCTTGTCTATAACTATCTTGTCTAGAACTAACTGTGCAGCACTATTTTGTCTATAACAATCTAGTCTATTACTAGTATAACTGACTTTGTATTTAACTATCTTTCCTCTTTCTAGTCTATAACTATCTGGTCTATAACTATCTGGTTTATGTGACAGTAACAGCGACTGTTATCATGTTGTCTGACTGGACATTGTGTGGATATCGGTGGGATAACTAGGGTGAGTGGTCATATGATGTGGTGTATAACAACATGTAGAATAGAGAATAAAGTTAATTGTTACACAGTCCACAGCCTTGAGGTGACATCTTCTTATACCGGTACTGTTACATGGAGTCAGATTAACCGACTCCACCCGCCACAACAGCTAGAATGAAACGGTAATGTTGCTGTGCCCTGGGCAAGATTGAAGCACTCATTTGAAATTTACAAGACGGCCAGAGGACTGGATACCAAGAGTAAAGAGGTGCAGTGCATGACTTGATCGCACGTGATGATAGGTCAGGGTGTAATGGAAGTGTTCAATACATTCCAGTGGAATAGAGAAGAATGTGAAATATGTACGTCTTTCTACACAGCTAATTGTATATTGAAGAAATTCGAAAATCACTGCTATCCAAGAAAGGATATAACAATTGAAAGAATGTAACAATTGAAAGAATGTAACAATTGAAAGAATATAACAGTTGAAAGAATGTAACAGTTGAAAGAATGTAATAATTGAAAGAATGCAACAATTGAAGGAATGGAACAATTGAAAGAATGTAACAGTTGAAAGAATGTATCAGGTGAAAGAATGTAACAGTTGAAAGTAAGATCAGTCCAGAAGAGAGATAGTCACTTATCAGTCAGAAGCTAGAGTGACGTCCAGTGAAGAAACGTTCCTCACTGGTAGCTATCCGGTGAAAAGCAGACTTTGCATTGAGTGGCAATCGGTGGTGACTCTTTGAGGGCAGGCAAGTGACCTTCTACTTCCATGCGCCCACGTTCTGGAACCAGCTCCCCTTCCACATCCGTCATTGTGAAACCTCGTCCACTTTCAAAAAGTCCCTTAAAACCCATCTGTTTAGGTCCGCCTATGACCTGTGATGCACCCTCCTTGCCCTGCCTCATTTTCTGTCTCGGGTTGATCCTGTATTTATGTGTTTTTTTTGTTTTTGTTTTTTTCAAAGTATATGCCAAAACGTGCCAAAGTGTACTTGTTTTTATAGCCATTTTAAGGTTTTAGCTACTGTTTTTATAGTCATTTTTAACATTGTAGTTACTATTCTAGTGTCTCTGGTTTTTCACTTTTCTTTTACTTTAGCAGTTTAAATAGTTTACATATTTTTAATAATTGTAAAGCGCTTAGAACTGTAAGGAAAGCGCTATATAAAAATGCCTAAATAATAATAATAATAATAATAATAATAATAATATACAAGAGCACAGTTAACATTGTCCCCTACAAATTGTTTAGTCAGCTTTGAAAGAGGAGACTTAAGAGGTCAAGTACGAGGCTTACCACGTACAGTTGGGAGGGGGGGGGTCATTAAGTGCAGTCAGTACACACAACAACCACACTGGCCAGTCAAACAGTCACACTTGCTGTCACATCTCCGTCGTAAGGAGACAATCAATAATTAATCAAGTATACAACTTTGTATGCACCAATAGATCAATAGTTATGGTGAAATATTATCAAACATCTTTGCATTTACAAATAAATCAATAGTATTAGTAAAATATTCTCCACCATCTTTGTATGATCAAATTGACAAAAAAGTTACTTGTAACACAGACCACAGTAGCGCGTTCACTTCTCATGCTATCACAATCTATATCAATCTGGTCTATAACTATATTGTCTATCATTATCTGAGCTATAACTATCTGGCCTATAACTGTCTAATCTATAACTATCTAGTCCAGTGTGTACCAACTCTTTTGTCCCACGCCCCCAACTAAGCTTTTCTAAAAATTATTAAGCCAACCTCCCCCTCCCCATTTAATATTTACATGTATTTTAATATTTAAAAACTAAATTGTTCACGGAACAATTACTAAACGATAGGTTTTAGGAAGAAGGCAAGCGGCTTATGGAATGAGCAGGCTTTACAAAGAAATGTTTAAGGAAACACAGAAAGTAAATTTTCAAAACATGGAATGGAGAACTGAAATTCAATAAAAAAAAAAAATTTTCTAAAATATTTTAATTATTTATTATTTAATAATTTTAAAATAAAAAGAGATATCAAAAATACAATGAGAGATCCCAAATACAAAGAGAGATCCCAAATACAATGAGAGATCCTAAATACAAAGAGAGATCCCAAATACAATAAGAGTCCCAAAATACATTGAGAGATCCCAAA